TGGAAGCACTAGACGGCAGTTTCGTCCCATCATGGAACTCCTCATCAGTGCGCATCCACGATCTCGCCTCATGGGATTCAAACCCAGGACCCATCAGTCCAGTGCTTTCAGGTTTTCCGTAGTGGTCTAGCTTCAATCTACTCATGATCTCGACTATTGAAATTACTACAGTCTCCAAAAAACCCCTTATGATACTAACATAACATGTTTTATATCTTAACTGATAAATCCACATGGGATATCTAAATCTATGGTAAGTAAAATGACTATTAAATGTGTTATAACTTTTTGCCTTGTGCCCTGTTAATATATGATGCAATGATACCGCTAATTGGGGAACAGTGATTTAACGACCGGACCAATGACATATAAAACCCGTACGAGCAGACTTAAGTCTTTATCGGTCCTTCTTCCAACTTAGCCTTTCTTGTTGAGTCCAGAACATCAATCTCAACCTCTGCAATATGAGTCATGTATCTTAAACATATTAACTGGGTTTATATACAAATCAAACAGACCATATCGCACCAATAAAATATGAAACAACATTTGTACAAGATTTAGCCAAAAATGGCTGTGAATGTGAAAGTTAGTAATCGATAGACAGGGCATAACTCAAGAACGGTAAATCGTATAATAATAATACATAGGTCAAAATAAATCTTACGATAAAAAGAACACGATTATGAATAGTTTAGTTACTTAATAATAACTATCCAATGAAAATATATGTATCATATTGCTGCATAAATACTTCTCAAGAGTTACCATTCATAATTATTGTCGGAATATAACAAAATGGACAGCCAAAATCAAGTAGTACATATTTTCAAAACCCATTACATAAGTTCTTTATAAAAATTACTTTCTAAACATCACGAGAATACGATGAATGTATTTACTGATTAGTTAATGAATAACACACTACATGACTGATTCATAATATATTTGATAACAATTCTAAGTGACTGACTAGGCAAGCAATAAGCTGTAGTGAATAGTAATGAAATATAACCATGATTTATTGAATGATACATGATTGATTGAATCAAACTGTCAACTCATTAAATAATCATAGTTCAAAACTAGTTGAACTATTATATCACATTCAAAATATAAGAATTTGTAGAAATCAATGACCTCTTCGTAAGAATTAAAGTATCTAATACAACACCAGGTATTACATCATAGTTAATTACCATTTGAAATATTAACTTTTTACAATCAAAGTATATTGATCAACCTGACATTGCCGTCCAGTGCTTCCAGGTTTCCAAAGGTGATCTAACATCAATCGGTTCATGATCTCAGTCAAAAACTTAAAAATCTCCACAACCCTTATACTACTAATTAACGTGTGCTCACTAGTGACTAGCTTCATGAGGGAATTCTCGGAGTTCTAGTAAGAAGCCGTAACTAGTGGAGATAATCTATGTCGGGTAGAGACAGGTATCTACCTCAGTACAATGGAAGATGGTCGCGGAACTTCGTGGATTGGTTGAAGTTAGACATTAACACCATTGGATGCTGGCTAAGTGGTCTAGTTGGTTAAGCACCTGGTACGAGACCGATAGGCCCTGGGTTCGGATCTCATGGGGTGCGGGATCGTGGGTGCCCACTGCTGAGGAGTTCCGTACTAGGACGAAACGGCCATCCAGTGCTTCCAGGTTTTCCATGGTGGTCTAGCTTCAATTGACTCATAATTTCAATCAAAAATTTAAAGGACCCATATAAAAATGTGTACAATTACTTTAGTATAATTGGTACTCACCAGTAAGACCTAACTGTAATCTTAAGGTAACTAATATTCCCTTGGAGATTTTGACACTCATCATCCAGTTTCACAATCTAAAACATTGCCATTGAGATATTCATGCCATGACTGACTCTTTGTATAACTGACATATTTACAATTAATTAATCGCTAGGCAGTGACCATTGATGCTTGTCTATTCATTTCATATAAACGATGTCAATTCACTCAGACTAATGGCTGAAATTTTGGTGGAAGTAATCAGTAAGACTTGAATGGACTAAACAAGCATGACATTAGTCAATACTCAAAAGATCAATGAAATATAATTAATCTGATATATATTTTATTTTTATCCCAGACAGTGATGTCATTATTGTGGTATACTTACTTGAGCTTGCCACCACTCATGGAACAAGATTCACCGAACAAGATCCCTTAGGCTGCCTTGTTCTGGACTCTCCTTTCCACTTCTTACCAAGTGCTATTCATTTCTTTGATGTATGCCTGCAATTCTCTGCAAAATATGTTCTATGGTCTGTCTCTTTTCCATTTATCTTGATAATTCCAATTTAGGGATTGCTTTGTGATGCAGTTTGATGATTTCTTCAGTGTGTGTTTTATCCACATTTATCGACTTTTCTAATTTCATATTCAGTGGGAATCGGGCTCGTTCTCTCACACGGTAGGTTGTTGTTGATGATTACTTGCCAATATATCTGGTGCATCAAACGTAGACAATAGTTTATAAACTCCTGTGTTTCTTTATAATGGTTTTGGCAGTTCTACAAGTTTAAACTCCGTAAAATAGAACTGTCTTGATGTTTGTATTTGAAATCCTGACTTCGGTATTAACTAACAGTTATTTTGAGTTCCAAATGTTTTTTAATTGTGAGAATTCTGACCTTGCTTTGCCAACCCATGTCATCATATCTGCATCACATCCCTCTTGTTTAACTCCGCCTGGAGCCATCGCAAGCTCACTTTCGGAACCAAGACCGGATAAAGAAGAAGGATTTGATATGTGATTATCAACCGAATCTCATAGAACAGAACCTTGCTAAAAAAACCACTACCATGATATAATCGAATCAATAACCGATGTATTTGTAAAATCTCATTACCTTTTGTTTTGCTTCAACTTTACTTGAATTTCATCTTCGGTTATATTAACAAACATAGATTTCTGTAACATGTTTGTTTTACTTAAGTATATAGAAATCCATCCATTAGTGTGGAATATATAATCTGTGTTTAAAAAAACAAACATTTATATAACAGGATAACATTAAAGCATGAAGGAAATAGTAGGTGAACAAGAGGAAACTAGAAGGTACATTGAAGATATTACAAGAAAATTGAACAAGATTATTGATCATTTTATGTAGATTTTATGTCAAAAGAGTAAAAAAAATGGGATTTTTTTAAATTAAAAACTTACATATTACTTAAATGAGAATGTAAAAAAATGATGCGTATAAGTTTGCTGAAATGCTTTGTCTAATAGACATTGTGATTTTTCTAAATCGCATTCGACTATTGATTACAATCGACTAATGAAATTTCAATCGTTGAGATTATAAGTCAATTGAAGTTAGACCACCATGGAAAGCCTGGAAACACTGGATGGCAGTTCCGTCCTATTGTGAGATTCCTCAGCAGTGCGCATCCACGACTCCACCCTATGGGATTCGAACCCAGAACCAAATCAGCCCAGTGCTTCCAGATTTTCCATGATGGTCTAGCTTTATTTGACTCATGATCTCAACTACTGAAATTACTACAATCTCCACAAAACCAGCTTCTGATTAATGAAATGTTTTCTAATTATTCTGATATTTGATGTAACAGGTTTGAAAGTGGCTCATGAATGCTGTAAATTAATTTCTGAAAACTATAACTCATAGATGGTACTGTAAAGAAAACAATCGAAAATAGTTGGGTTATTGTTAGCTATGAAGTCCAGGTTACATTTTTCGTCCTATATGGAACTCATCAGCTAGATGTACCTACAGTTGTGTATTGATGATTACATTGGAACTTGAATCTAAAAACATTTGCTTGAGACATCTAACATAGGTATTCAAGCTGTGACTAAGTCTGTAAAAGACTACCGATTCTCATATTATTTCGTTAATCATAGTTTATTTATACTTCGACTTCTGATTTTTTTACATAGGGATATTTTTAAGAACCGAATTCAATTATCGCACCTTACTAAATGCGTTTAAAAAGCAGTTACCTCTGTTAATTGAATTTAGACACTCACTGTTACGTGTAGTTAAAAGTAGTATCTAGTCTTTTGTCATGGTGAATAAATTCTGGAACAGATTCTTCCATACTTATTGTTCTTTTCATTAATTTTTCATGAACAATACTACTATCTTTAGGTTGTCAGTAGTTGACGAGAAACCGCAAAATATAATGAATTTATATTATTCTGTTACGTTAATTATTCTTGCTTTAGTTAAGGATGTCAAGGGAAAATTTTTATGGAACATGTTTATTATGTCTAAATGTAATTGAATATTGAAAAATAGTAGTGCCTCTTGTTATTTATCGACTGTTAGGCTTATAATTAAATGCATACATAAGTACGTATTTATAAAAAGATAAGTTGCAAAGTTCAAGAGAAATGCGAACTTTTGCTTTTTTAGTATTGTGGTACAAGCTGACATTTTCTACGACACTCTTCCATTCCATTTTCACATATGCATGCTTCCCTTTCTATTCATTTAAAGAAACTTATCATTGGCAAGTTAAAAGTAGAATTAATAATATATAGTTCTATCAAGTCTTGGTACCAAAGAATACTCACATATACAGATAACTTCACTTGGTGTTATCTAATTGTATCTTCCGATTGTTATTTAGGACTTTAACGGATCAGTCTCTTGTTGGCATATTTAGGGCACTGAGTTCGAGTCTCAGAGTGAACATCAGCCCTGAGATGCAGATACATCCAGCTGAAAAGTCCAAAATTGGACGAAATGCGCGTCCTGGAGTCCACTACTAACCACTATCCATCTTTGCTTATATACAAATAACATTTACACAAATAATTCACTTTCTTAATTTTTGAAATGAGGTCAAATCCCGTTTTTTTTTGACCTGACTAATCATTTATCATTAATTATAAAACTACAGATTTAGTAACAAAATACTCAGTTTCCCAAGGGATTACACTTATCCATTGTCTTAGTTTTGCTGTAACTTTAACAGAATATGTTGGTTGTTGTGATTTTATCTATTTGTCAGTATTATTATTGTTATTAGAAGCAGCAGCAGCAGCAGCAGTAGTAGTAGTAGTAGTAGTAGTAGTAGTAGTAGTAGTAGTAGTAGTAGTAGTAGTAGTAGTAGTAGTAGTAGGAGGAGGAGGAGGAGGAGGAGGAGGAGGAGGAGAAGTATTCGATGTTATATTGAGAAATATAAATGGTAACAGTTTCTGACATTCAAAATTGTTTACAAATAGAAGGTTGTTTATCCTAGATAAAATGTTTTTTTCCTCTTTTAGAGACAAAGCAACAAAACAATATTGTTTACACTGTTAGAAAGCTTTAGATAAACAAGTTTCATCTCATGTTATAACAAACATATTTATATATTCAAAGATTTCAAGTGTAAACTTAATTAACAATCCTATTCCGTTTGTAATTCGAGATTATGTTGAGTAAATAAACAAATAAATCTATATTTTCATCCATAAGTAGATTCTATGCTCAGATTATATAGCTGGATATTTGAGATGATGAGAATGGAATTAAAGTGTTTATCAAAATTTGGTAAGAAAATGAATTGAATCTAGTTACAATTAGATCATAAGAAATGTGTTATTGATCTGTCTGTTTCAATTAATGTTATACTCCCTTTATGATCTCTCTAACATACCCAATCAATCAATCAATCAATCCGTCAATCAATTTTTATTGATTTGAATTGATACTATTTTCGAAAAGATATGTGACCGATGCATATGTTCTCTTAATCCAATAATCTGACCATAAGGTTAAGCTGTTCTTTGGAATCATATATTGATTTATGTTCAGCTTTCGGTAATGAAATCATACAGTACAGTAAAACAGTTATCGAAAAGATATATCTGTTATCTAAAATGAATTTTTTTTATTTGTTGTGCAAAAACTCAAACAAACAGTTCTTAGAACACGGCTTGCTATAGAATATCTGGGCTACTTGTTCCTGCCATCTAGATATTACAACAAGTTATCTGTTTCCTTGTTTGTTTTAACAGATCATTATGTCAACTATTTGCATAATCTATTAAGATGCGTTTGTGAAAAGTTTACGGCTTTTCTCTGTACAAGTTACAGAAGAGCCCAATCAGATATTGTGGTTGCTGGCAATGTGCATTGAAAAGAAGGAATATTATTCAAATGTTGATTTCTGAAATTTTAACATCTAACTGGCGATCACTCAACATTTATCGTCAATATCGATCAATAAATAAGAAAAGGAAGCTTGTTGGAATACTTTGTGCTGGGGATTCTATATTGTACCAAAAATGAGAGGAATAGCGGATTATGTAAAGAACAACTCAAAGAAGATTTGAGTATGATGTATTTAATGTACGATTTTCATATGTTACGGTGTGATTTCGCGTTAAACAATAAGATGGCTTGCTCCACCAATTTCTCGTTCACCACACTAGCAGTAATGGTAGTAGTAGTAGTAGTAGTAGTAGTAGTAGTAGTAGTAGTAGTAGTAGTAGTAGTAGTAGTAGTAGTAGTAGTAGTAGTAGTAGTAGTAGTAGTAGTAGTAGTAGTAGTAGTAGTAGTAGTAGTAGTGGTAATAGATTCAGCTATATATCCGGGAAAATACTGTATTATTTGTTCTTATTTTTCCTATGTCATTCTGTTGTGATATAGAAATGTTGTTGATGATAATTGATATAAGAAAATACCAACATCGGATGAGCAGTATATTATTTCATAAATTGGAGAAACATAAAGAGCGAACTTGGTTAAATTCATATCCAATGAGCCAGCAATGTAACAGACGAAGAAAAAAAATCTTCGTTCGAGTATCCATTAATGGTGAAAAAATAGAGGTTCAATGTTTCATACTTTTTATTTACACTACAAGTAATAACGGTCCATTAACTCTGTTATCTTGAAATGTTTATGTGCATAATTTTATTTTTGTACTGGTTATTGATATTTAAGACTGTAATAAATCAGTCTAAGCTGGAGGTATATCCAGCTAATGAATCTCAAATAGGACGAAACGGTCGTTCTCAATTTCACTGCTAGCCACAGTCATCTCTGTTTATGTGAATATATATTGTAACATCGTTACCCAGTTGTATTCTATTCTTAACTTTAACATTTTTCAATGATACATAACCAATACGACAAAGACATCTATGATTAAAAGTCAACAAGCTCCACAAACTATAAATGTTCCATATCATTGAGAGAAACTTGAAGTATCCAATAAAATACAATCAAAGTTGTTTTATTTTTATTCTGAGAAAACAAATCAACACTTAAATTATTATCAGAAGGGGTTTTGTGGAGATTTTAGAAATTTTCACTGATTGAAATCATGAGTCAATTGAAACTAGACCGCCATGGAAAACCTGGAAACACTGGACGGCCGTTTCGTCCTAGTATGGGACTTCTGAGCAGTGAGCATCCGCGATCCCGAACCCCGCGAGATTCGAACTCAGGACCTATCAGTCTCGCGCCAGGCGCTTAACCAACTTAAGTTATTACTTTTCACCATTCACTCTTCACTGTTCCCGTTAATAATCAGGATAGGTTTGGTGACATTAATAAACAATATGTAATCATTTTATGTATCCTATACACCATTGTGGTCTCAATGTTTATTCCTAGAACCAATATGCATATATATATTAGAAAGTTTGAATACTGAATGAACCATTGCATTATGTTTCTTTTTTATTTATTGTTGTTTGTTGAATAGATACAAAGTCTTATCTGGAAATTTTGTATAGATTGGAATGCTTGAAATTGTAATGACTGATCCTATATCGAACCCATATAGCTTATTGTTGCTTCCGGACAAACCAAATTATCTGTTCTCCTCAAGCTACATTTTGACCTTGTTAATTTTTGACTTATCAACACTGACTGCTTTCATATGAACTTATTTGTGTGTGTCTGTATGTATATCTTACCCTACTCATTACATGTTCATAACTTATTTTTGTGTGAACATAATTATTGATTAACGCTTGATTAGAATGAGTTGGTCCACATACCTTCTCCATTGCGTGTCTTTTCGTTTCGTTTCCCTCTCTCTTCTTCCCTTCCTTTGCTACATCTCTCTAATTGTCTATTCCGAACAACGATTGTACAAAATATACGTATTCAAACATCCATTCTCTTATTTGACTTATTTAATTCCGTTATTCACTAACTCGATATAAGTTGATGATTATATACGAGAATTGGCGATATATATATATAATTCAATAGTAATCAATCATACGATCTAACTGGAGTCAGATCTCAGACCATAATGTTTATATTGTGAAAGCATTTCATATGAAAATAATTTTCATTTTTATTGGAAATATTTATAAATCTAAAATAAATCATTTTGGTATCTAAAGTTCCTAATCATGTCCCTTTAGTAAACATTTATGTCAACTAAATGTCATCATATTGAAGAGAGGTTTTAAGTATGAATTTAACACAATGTAAAGAGTTCAAAATACGAATGGTCAGTTTAACTGTAGCTAGAGAAATTAAGCCTATTTGATACATAAATGCTCATTAGTATACTCGTTGTTCGAGGTTAAATGATAATCTTGGAACTAGACAAACCATTCAGAGTAGAGTAGACTAATGTAAGGCAAAAAGAGCAGTTAGCCTTATCTTAGGTATGATACAAATTTGCTGGATGTATTATATTACTTACTGATCTGTCTGATACCAGAAAGTCTAGAAGTGCTCTGAGCCGACTCAAGCACTTGGTTGGGAAACATCATTCACTAAAATGACTGACAGCGAAATATTCTCACTACAGATGAGCAAGATAGAAGCTGTTACTCAAATATTTCAAAAGCCGATTGATGAGTGGATCAAAGAGGAAGCGAAAACAGTTTATGGAGAAGTTGTCGAAGTCCTAATAGTTCATTCGGCAACTGGAGTGAATGCAAAGATTTCCGAACTAATCCTTCAAACAAATGGAATTTCAACAGATGATGACCTAGGTTCAAAAATGATTAAATCTCTAACACAGGAGAAAGTTTAAGCCGGGTAATTTTCCACTAGATATGCTTCATTTTTTAGTGATATTATTGCCACTGATAAACTCTCTTGGAAAATTACAGAAATAGGTTGGTCGTTTATTAGACGTCAGTGGTATGATGCTGCTGACGGTCAAGCTAAGTTTATTCAGTGTCTAGAAGGCGAAGGGAAGAAACGGGAAGAGCTTGTTCATACTGTTGCTATAGATTAAATCGACGTAGTTATTAGCAGAACTCAGTGCTTTCCTGTTCTTTTAAGTGAGAATATTGATAATTTAAAGAGATCAAGGATCAGATTAGTCACAAGATAGCTCAATGATGCGAAAAAGGAAAGTCAGAAATAATTCCTGATGTCCTGTTCATTAACGAAGTGCATATGTTAGAGGCCAAATGTTTCTCATTTCATAATCGAGCCCTTGAATCTGATATGCTCCCAACAACGTTAACTGTAGCCATAAGCAGAGGTATCACAAGACTTCGTGGTACTAAATATCAGAACCCACACAGAGTAACTACTGATTTTCTCGATCGCCTCCTTGCGATTTCAGTTGATTCGCATAAAGACTAAGGTTCTTTAGTATTAATCTCACAAACCAACCAACAGAATTGAGTTAACAAATTTGGTTGTCACTTTCTTGAATTGAATATGCCAACTTATGAATTTTACTAGTCCGCATTAGTTATCACATCAAACCAATTGTAGCCATTTAAATACAGATTTAACAGAAAGCGCTGACTCTAGCTAATACGCCTTAGTTTTAATTGCACGTAGATGTCCATCTACGACCCCTCCCCTAAAATCGAATCGCAAACATTCATATCTCAAGGTGAATATATTTGAAGTTGTGAGTGAAACACAAATATACCACTAATTTTAGATGAAGATCATACCATGAAATAAGTTAACTAAATTGAAAATGTGGACAATCCAATTTATTTCATTGCATGGTCTTCGTCAATAGTCACTGGTAATCTACTATCTCACTCTTGCACTCTTTGTAAATTAAACGTGTTGAGTTCAAACACAACAGTTTGTATGGGATTACCACACTATGGTTCAAACTAGTTTAAGTGCCTTTGTAATAAATCTCAAGTAGCAATAAAAAATTTTGTATTATAACCATTTAATTTAGGGATATAAAACCAACTGTATGAAAAGATTTCATCGTCATTCATGTATGTTTTAAAACAGTTTTGCCTCAATGACATTTTATTACAGCATCTTATATTTGATGTATGTATTTTGATATTACGTCTTTTCTTTTTGTTTTTGTTTTCTAAGATAACCGACACCAACCATTATGTTTTAGTTCCGTTTGAAGATTGTTATAATTAGATTTGGGATGATTTGTCAAGTTTTTCATAAAAAGCATGTGTCCCTATAGTTAACATACAATAATAAATGATATGATGGAAGGAAAAGTCAATTTTCAATTGATTTACTCCTTATGAGTTTTGGTTCAAGATTATTTCCGTTTTGACTCAATGTAATAATTACTCAATGTAGTATTTGTTACTGTTTTCTCGTAATGACATTTTATTCTGTATAATATGCGATATTCTTGGATCCCATTGACATGAACTATGATCAATATGTGATTTGTTATAAGTCGAAGTATTTTTCATGTATGTGAATTCATCCTAATTATTAATCAAAAATGGGTGTACGAATCAATATATAAATGAGTGTATTTTCTACTAGAGTTGTTGTTGTCGTCGTCATGTTTTTGGGTCGATAAATCTTCACTTATACCAGTTTTTGTGTTCTTACTTTCGCGTCGAAGAAATTGCGGAGGTCCCTCGTTTCGAGCATACATGATAAGCGTTTCCGACATAACAATCAGCGACGACCAGATATAAAAATAGCATTAAAAGAGTCAAGACAATAAGCATTCAAACGACAAATTATAACAATAAGTTAATTGAAATAGACTTGGAAACAAGAATTTGTATTATAATATTTACACAGTTGGATAAATGATTCTACAGCAGTTTACCGCTAGACACTAACACTAGACGCACTGTAACACACTCAATAAATAATGTTATAACTCAACTATAGATCTAATCTATAAACGTAACTTATTCTTAAGTATGTTTCGTATAGAATATACGATAGGCATTTCATCCTATTTTAGACTTATCAGTTGCATGTACCTTGGTTCGTTTTAAATTTCATATGGACTTGAACCTTGTACTTTTCACTCTAAATATTGAATATCATATCCACTGAGCCACTGAACCCAGATAACCACTAACTTAACACTTAGTCAGAACATGAGTTTATATTTGCTTTATGACAGGTAGCAGATGTACGTTAGTAAGTAACTGGAGTAACTGATGAATTAATCTTCGAATATTGTCAGTATTTCAATCATTCAAATACATGTGAAATGAGGAAGTTGGACAAATATTGCTTAATCATCCTCATTTCATTTTTATCATAATAATTCTGTCAACCCTTGCTTAAATTAAATTTGTTCGATCAGGCAACTTGACATTAATTGAAATAACACAACTAAAGTGTTACTGAGTTTAATCTACTGAACCCTATCCTTTATTATCCATTTAATACTTTCTAGTAGCATATTAACATGTAACTAACAGTCTAATTTGTATTGATTTAATCTTTAACATAATTGTCAACAAATGAACAGAAAAAATACCCTCTCCCCCTTCCCCCCCCAAATGTTACGTATCTCATTTTTATTGAACATTAATAGAATAAATAGTTATTCTTATATGTTTTAATTCAGTATAACTTTTGTTCAACAATCAGTCAGTCAGCTTTAACGTAAGACCAGGCATATATGCATGTACATCGGTCCAAGTTGCCATACCTCATTAGCACAACAATATATCCGCTTTAATTTAAAATAATCATTGTTTAGTATCATTATCAATGTAAAAGTTTGTATGGTACAATATTGATTTTATCTCTGAACCTTTTTATTCAGTATAAAATTTCTTTGCATTAATTTAAAGTAAACTTTATCCAGTATGAAATACTCATAATGTTTTTCTTTTTTCGGGGGCGGGGGGTTACTCGTGTATTTTCTCTATATTTGATCATTAATTGTGTATAACATTGACAATAAAAACGGGTATATCGTTTAAAGTAGATAAGGAATTTAATAGAGTTAATTAAACTTTTTTTTGCATTAATCTTTGTTACTATTTCCGTTTTAAGTATTATACTAGTTTCTCATTATTATAACAATAAGCAAATGGTGTTAAGATTCCACAGTTTCTACTAATAAATAAATTGGTAACAATATTATGTCAGAAAGGGTTTTGTGGAGATTTTAGAAATTTCAATAGTTGAAATCATGAGTCAATTGAAGCTAGACCACCATGGAAATCCTGGAAGCACTGATAGGTCATTGGTTCGGATCTAACGGGGGGCAGGATCGTGGATGCGCACTTCTGGGGAGTCCCATACTAAGACGAAACGGCCGTTCAGTGCTTTCAGGATTTCCATGATGGTCTAGCTTCAACTGACTCATGATCTTAACCATTGAAATTACTATAATATCCACAAAACCCATTCTGATACTAATCAACATATGCTCACTAGTGACTGGCTTCAAGAGATATATCCTGGAGTTCTAGTGAGAAGCAGTGACCAGTTGAGTTCAACCGGGTCAGTTGTGAGGTAGTAACTCACTGATGACAATGGTGGATGTGTCGCTCAATTTCGTTGATTAGTTGAAATTAGACATTAACACTGTTGGATGCCGGCTCAGTGGTCTAGTTGGTTAAGCTCCTGACGCGAGACTGATAGGTTCTGGGTTGGAATCCCGCGAGGCGGTGTCGTGGATGTGCACTGCTGAGGAGTGTCACAATAGGACGAAACGGCCGTCCAGTGCTTCCAGGCTTTTCATGGTGGTCTAGTTTCAGTTGACTCGTGATTTCAACAATCGAAAAAATATTTTGTTTTATTACAATCAAAACATAAGGATTATAGCTTCCATGGTTCATTATAACAAGTGGATTAATTAATTAATTAAATTATTGAATACATAGAAGTTTCTAGAATGATTGATAATGAAACAATCATTAGATTATTATTAATTAGTAAGATTTTTTTTACCAGATTTCATAATATATACTGAAAGTATTCTAGAGTATCTTGTCATTATCAAATGATTATTCAGTAAGATTCAATTTCATAAGATTTATGACTGATGGCTTCAAAAAAATAATCTTTTATCTAATTCAATTACTATCAGTTAACTAATTATTGAAGCTTCAATTTGATTAGATCTAATTTATAATAATCATTCATAGTTGGCAACAATATTGAGGTTAAACTTGATAATTTTCAGCAAATTGAGTATTGAGTAAAGTATTCATTGTAGAATAACGATACATTGATGATGTAACAATGATTAGAAATTTAAATTATTGACTTTTCATGAGGCAGTGTAAATAAGTAACCGAATTCGGTTAGTAAATCATTAAAATGTATCAAAGAATAAGGTAGAATATTTAGTTCAATCAAAATTAAAATAGGTTTGACTATATCAGCGAGTTAGTTTTCTACGGGATGGAGTCGCTAACTCCATGCCTAAACCTCTTCTTTTACCCGGGTTTGGGACCGACAGTAACTCTGGGAGAGCTACAGGCGAACAAAGAGGATCGGATGCGAACATAAAGATAAGGATTGGCAAAACAAGGGTCACATTCCTACAATTGAAGAACATATGGAACTCAAAACAACTCTCAACCAATATCATAGTTAGAATCTTCAATACGAGCGTCAAGACAGTCCTACTGTACGAAGCTTAAACATGGAGAACTACAACAATCATCATCAAGAAGGTACAAATAATTGTCTACGTAAGAGACTCAACATCCATTGGTCGGATACCATCAACAACAGCCTTCTGTGGGGGAGAACAAACCAGCTTCCAGCTGAAGAAGAAATTAGGAAAAGACGATGGAAATGGATAGGACATGCATTGTGGAAATCATCAAACTGCATCACGAGGCAAGCCCTAACTTGGAATCCTGAAGGGAATCGGAAAAGAGGAAGGCCAAAGAACGCAATACGTCGGGAAACAAAAGTAGATATGAAAAGGATGAATAGGAACTGGAAGGAGCTGGAAAGGATTACCCAGGACAGGGTTGGATGGAAAATGCTGGTGGGTGGTCTATGCTCCTCCACGAGGAGTAACAGACGTAATTAAGTTATGTTAGTTGTTTACTTCGACTGACGAAGTGTATTAAACTGGTTTAAGTTTCTGATATAAATAACTAACAATTAAATAAGCAGAGACGGATGATGGCTAGTAGCGGAATACAGGATGCGCGTTTTCTCTTACTTGAGACTTGCCAGCTGGATGTACCCGCATCCCAGAATTGATATTCACTCCGAGACTTAAACCCATTACCGTTAACTGCAAATGACATCGTGTTATCCACTTAGCTACTGAGCCAAGATAGCCAGTAGTTTGTATAATAGAGTAAAGTTTTAATTCGTTTTAGTTCATTTAAAGATGCAGGTACATTCAGATGAAGAGTCTTAAATGGGGCGAAACGAGCGTTCTGGATTCCACTACTAGTCACCATTCATATTTGCTTATAAAGCTTGTGATTTAAGGCAATATTGAGGCAATCCTTACAGGATGCACATATGTAAATAAGAGACTGATCAATCGCAGTCATCAACATCGATGGTATAATTCAAACAGCCAATACAAAGATTAATTATAAGAATTAAATAGCTCAGTTAAGCAAATACTTCTACGCAGACGTTTTGTATAAAGGTGAATGGAACAAAGAAATAATTCTTTTTTGAATGATTTTTCATCTCTCCTCTACACCACTATAGTTATCAAATTAAAATGTATGAATGAGCTAACTACGATCTAGAAAGCAACTCCAAGGTCACAGTGCACACATCAAACTACATTGATGATTATCTTATACATCATGATTATTAGAGTTATGAAATGACGCTCACTTTGACATACTACCACAAAGGTTAAGAAAAGTTGCACAGAAAACATTCACTGTAGTCAAACTGACCACTTGTTTTAATGATTATCTGACAATGTAAACGACCAACATAAACAGACTGCCTAAATTTGCCACATCGGTATATTTTATTCAAATCAACTACTTCTGAAAAGTTAGTCATACAAGGCATACAACTAGACTAATCCGATATTGTATCGCTGAACAGCATCCAGCCAGCTTGAATTAAAGACAGTTAAGGATGGCTAAGATTTCTATTCTTAATAACTTGGTTGACAAATGTAATCAATCTCACTTGAATGAAGCTCCTAAAGTTATCCACCGGTTAACATTAGATTCACAACTACATCGTTTGTATGTCTATGAGGCTATCGAAACATGCATTTAGAAA